GAGAGAGAGAGAGAGAGAGAGAGAGAAGAGAATGGAAAAGAGAGGGCAAAAAAATCTGAAACGATGAAACAGATTTTGTTATTGAATCATTCAGTAGCTTTATGGAATTGGTTATGTGCCATTTCACCAATCCACATTGAGAATAACACAGTTGTGATAGTGTATCAGCATTGTTGACTAAGTGAATCCTTGCGGACAACTTGCTAGTGGATATAATGATGGTCGCATTGAGATAAAACACGTATGCACCTGGAATTTCTCAGAATACATTCTGTAATACAAAGTGTTCGGTGAGAATATCTAGCCAGATATGTCAACCATCGAAACTTTTTTTCTTTTATTTCACTGCTGCCGTTCCACTCATAGACATAAACGAGTTAAAAACCGTATTTACACTCCAAATGTATGAGAGAGGAACAAGAAATAGAATGACATGTATTCAATAGAATATTTGAGAGTATTGGATGGTTTCAATGCAGATAAGCATGAAGTCAGCAGTATTTTGTTTTCTTCTGATGTTTTCGCCTCTCTATTTCGAAATGATATACACAAAATGTGAAAATAATAGCAGCACTCGAGACGAAAATTTATATTGTGTGCAGACAGTTGTATAAGTTGGCAGAGGCTTAATAAGACAAACTAACCATGGATACACATTCGTAATGTAGGTTATGTTGTTGTTTTTTTTTCTCCCTTCACTCCCCCGCTTCCTCACGCTTCCTTCAAAATCAAAATATGAAACGGAACGTATGGATTTGTGTGTTAATGCAACGGTAACAAGTCAATTTCCAAAAGAGATTCAATTACAATTCTAGTGAACGAATCAACCAACGATATGATTTGTTGTCTATGATACATAGAGAGAGGTAGCGAGAGAGAGGGAGAGAGAGAGAATGAGAGTGAAAATAATGCCCAGCGACAATAAAAATCATGTGCACTGAATCAAGTAGAGACTCTATCATTATTGTCATAGAAAGCTTATTTGGCACAAAAAACCATAAAAACTAGATACGTTGCCATAACGATGCTTTGAGAAATACGGTGTAAACGAAAACAATGGGATTACAACCGTCACAAGATGGAGAAGTGCGAAATGAACGAACTAGCGAAAGCGACGAAATATAGTATTGTTAGAAACAAGCTTGTGGTTGGGCCATACATTGGCTTGTCACGGACGATTTTTATTTTCAATTCACTATGTATTGTGTACTTGTGTCAATGTGGGATCTCCTATATACATATATGTGACACACGCACACCACACAATAAGACACACAATAAGACAGCAAAGTAAAAAGAAAATAACAACAGCAACAAAAAACCGTATGTCTCAACGATTTGCGAAAATCAACCGATTGCCCATTGCGCTTGACATCATCAACATAAATATTCTCATTTCCTCGGCACATACACTCGGCTCTTTTCTACTACATCCCCTCTCCCCTCTCCACTCCGTATCTCACTTTTATTTGTGCAGCTAATAATAACATTTTCATATATTGAAATTGGTTGGATTCAATACTCTTACTGATATCGATCTTGATGTTGATAGTCGTTCACGTTGTCCCTAATATGTGTGACACTTAGTGCACATCTTCAGCAGTAAGCGAATTTTATTAGTCCATTTATTAGTCAACTTGACATAAATATAATATTATTTTTCGTCTCTTTCACACTCGGTCCCCCCCTCTCTCTCTCCATCTCTCTCTCTCCCTCTCCCTTCCGTTTTCGCCGACATTTTTGTCGTTGTTGTCATTGTCGGTGTGATGTGCCAATGCCAATCCGCACAAAATGAACGAAGTTGAAGGGAGAAAGAAAGGAACGAACATTCGACGGGAAGAGTCAATAAAATCGACTGCAATGTGTAACATGTATAAACGCCCGGAATGTGTCAAATAAAATGGAAAATAGAGCGACACACACACACACACACACACACATAGAGGAAGAGAGAGAGAGAGAGAGAGAGAGAGAGAGAGAGAGAGAAAGAGAGCATCATGAGCTTCAGTTTCTGAGAGATATTCGCTCGATAAGTGCTAACGAATAGCAAACCAAGCCGATAAACCACATTGTTGAAATGATATGAGAGCACATTTCGAGTGCTACTTTGGATCATTTGCAAACTTATTGGTATTCGTGCACAAAAATAACTGTCATTCCAACTTATACTACGCCAAATATTTGGCAACGTGCATAATAAAAATAAAACAGAAAAAAATTGTTCACCATAAATTGTATAGTAGTGTAGTAGCTTTGACAAACATTCAAATATATATGCACAGTGTACGAACTATATACTTATATTTGTTTCACACAAAAATACAGGACGTTACACAATATAAACGCACCAAAGCAAAAAATATTTCAAATGAAAATAACTGCCGATACAAATATTTACGAGAACATACACCAAAAACATGCGTACAATACATGGTGTGTGTGTGTGTATGTGTGTGCTCATCTGACCCATAGTTGACTTGCACGACAGGTTTACTTCGTTTGGTGCGATCACTTTTATCTAGTTTTGCCATAAGGTGCATTTCCAATTGAATCGGTAAGAATAATCTTGACCTGCCAAATTGAGTGAAAATAAATGTTAAACATGGAGTTTTTCTTTATATGGACTTTACAACAACAACTCCATATTAAAAAAAACTCCATGTTTCACATTTATTTTCACTCAATTTGGCAGGTCAAGATTATTCTTACCAATTCAATTGATATTCTTGGCCCCGGCAAAAGCTTCCGGATTTACACACACATCGTCCATTACGAACACTTTGCTCTTTCAATTAAGCAGAACGTAGAGAAAATCAACACACAGCAGACATACAAAAACGACGACGACGACAATTCTCTACAAAACTTTCCGACCGCAAACTATGATTGCATGACCAAAAGACACAACAATGTGAATTATGAAAAATGTTAGCAGATAACGTTCTCTGTGTATACGTCTGTTGTATGCACAACTGATTTGTCAACGTAGCTTTTCATGCATAATGTGTGCGGAAAATGTCTTTGCTCGTGTCTAAGCACTCTGCAGTGCCGTCTTGTGTATATGGCAACGGCAACAGCGTCGCAGCTCAATCGTACATATACACACACACACACCCAATATACATGTCACACGAACAATATGAAATGCATGTAAAAATTCAAAACTTAACGATAAATATGCACTGAATCTTGTAAGTTCGTACTTATCTCTATAAGCCTCTGCACATTTGAACGTATCCGAAATGAATGCAGTTTTCTCTCTTACCATATGCACGGAAAACTTGCTTGTATTTCTGCATTTCCATCTCTTATCTTCATTTTATTTTCGCGTGTGTTTGTGTATGGCGTTCAAATTTGTGGAATATCCGTACCAAGGAACAAATATTTAAGATTCACCATTTTTTGAATGTCGAGTGTGTGTGTGTGTGTGTGTGTGTGTGTGTCTACATTTATTATGATGAAATAACAACGGATTGGTAATACTGTTGAATGTTTTTGAGAGTTGACATCTTCTATTGTCATTGCAGACATCTTTGGCTTGCGGTTTTTTATTTCTTCTTCATCTTCTTGTTCAAAACGAATCAAGCATATTTCATACAAACGAACAAAGTCAAATGAGTGCACCATAACAAGCACAACAATTTTATTTTCACGTGAACTCTCTTGAATCACTTACAAAAGTACTTTCGAATGCAGCTGTACCACACATACTCATCCGCTTCATTATAATTTGATGACAAAATCGAATGACAAATCTTTGTAAATCGTTCGAGTACACACTCGAAAATCATTTTCTCAAAATAAATACCGAAGGTAGATATACTACACTGCATAGAAAGCAAAGGAAACAAATCGATGTTAAATTCACAAAAATACCCTAAGGTTGTACAATGTACATATGTTTTCTTCTTTTAGTCTTGTTTCAAATCGCTTGAATATCCATTACACATGTCCATTCGCATGAGATGTGAACCCATGAGTGGTAGCGCTATTCGAAATTGGATAGTTGAATGGATTTCAATCAAGCATGTACGGCTATTCAGAAATAGTCAAAACACACATTACAGCAATGACATCTATTGGTGTGGAGAGATTTTCTAACCGAATTGAAGGCTCAGAAGAATTTCCCACGAAATAACATGTAAATGTGGAGAAAAGAAAGAGAACTAAATTAACTTCATTTAAAAAACTAGAGATGGCGCATATTAGTTCTTTACGCAAAAATAAGTCTACAATCCCATATAAGTCCTATACGGTTGATTTCAACAATCAAAAAACCTGTTCCAAGCGAGAAAAAAAGAGAAGAGAAAACACATTTTAGTTGTTACTTCTTGTGCTTATGGCTTAAACCATATTTTCAAAAATTGCGAGTAAAATTGATTAACTTAACACGTAAGCGCCAGGGGCGTCGAGTATCACAATTCAATTTATTTTATGATGTGGTGATTGCCAATTGGCAGCTAGCTCGGGCCTGAGCAAAAATACAAAAAAAAATACCACTCGTGAATTCTTTTCTTCGACTTCAGATCGTATATTGATACGCACCAGTGCAGTTTTTACGATTTGATTCGAGTTTAGTGCAAAACTTCAATAGAACTTACAAATGACTGTGCAGAAATTTCATTTACCTCAATGCTGTACAGTAGTAAAATATTTGCGTTTTTTTTTTCCTCGCAAATTTATTTCATTCGCTTGTTTCGACATGATAATTTTGAAGTGATTCCGCAGGGTAAAATTCGCACCAATTCAACGCGATCAAATGAATAAGCATACGTTTGCAAAGACATTGATTTATCTTTGCAACAATTAGTTTGTATCTGGCGTTGGTTCTTCATTCCCCTATATTCGTTTATGTAAATTTCTTGTTGAATCGGTTCGGTTGGGCGTGTGCGTGTGCAAAACCATTTAATATTGATGAGCAGCAAATTTAATGTACATTTCCTTCATTTGCTAACTATATGTGTTTTGTTTTGTGTTTTTTTTCTTCTTCTATTTTTAAGGTCGACCACGGCCAAATGTCACTTGGTATTTGGACAACACCGTTATTGATGAATCGTTCGAACAACGTCCCGATGGAGTAACCGTGAATCATTTGTCATATCCAAACATTGGACGACAGCATGTAAACGCCCGTTTCGTTTGCATTGCAAGTAACACAAATCTAATGCCACCGAACAGTAAAGTGCTCGTTATTGATGTCAATCGTATGTATCCACTGCTTTCTACCATTGTCTCTCTTTCCATTTCTATCTATTCGTTGCAGACTTATTTTTTTTAAATCGTTTACATTCAACAAACAATTAAACCGTTTTTTCTCTCCCCTGTCGTGCACTTTCTTCCCACAGTTAAACCGGCCGCTGTCCATATTTTGGCGAAGCGAGCATTTGTCTCGGCTGATAAGACATATGATATCGAGTGCAAGAGCTCCGGATCAAAGCCAGCTGCTTTAATTACCTGGTGGCGCGGCACAAAACAAATAAAACGCCCCATTCGAAATGTAAGTATTATTTGCCATGGCGATAGAAAGACATGCTGGTCGCTGCGTGACAAGCATGCATTAGCATTTCTCACTGCACCTTTTCGAGAGCGAAGCGAAAAAAAATCACTGAAACTAAAATACCAAATTCCAATTTAAATAAAAAAAAACACTGATTTTCACTGGGTGAATTACAAGAAAAGGGTATAGAATGAAATGAAAGGGAATCGAAAATAAAACCAACAAGCGACTGATGATTTCACCGGTTTAGCGCATTCCTATGCAAAATAAAACGGAACATGCTCACTAGTTTTTCAGCAATTACATATCTTAAACGACATGCATAAATATGAGCGATAAAATGGTCTTTTGCAAGAAAAAAAAAGCTCCTACATCGAAACTGGTCGTAATATGGAATTCATCTGAATTTCAATACGCACCGCAAATTGAAAGGAAGTGATTAAGATATAGAGTTCTCTCAGCAGTAACATTAATCGCAGCGATAACAACCCGTCGAGTAGTAGTGTACCTTGTGTTTTAGCTATTTTGCCATTTGGACAATTCTCATTTGAAATAATCATATAATTATATTTCATTCTCATTTTAGACGATTTGAAAATCGTGCTCTCCAACTTGCTTTGCTGCTATTGCATTTAATCGGTTGAACATTTTCAAGGAAATGCGAAATAGAAAATGCTTAAGAAATGCAATCATTTCATTCCATTTGTATCATAAATTAGTGTGCTTTATCCGAACAGAAGCGAGAGAGAGAGGAGAGGGAAAATGTAGTAAACGAGATGGTTCACAGTAAAAAGCAAGCCAAAGAAATTTTAACCATAAAATCATCGCATAAAAGTCGACAAAGAATTTCTTAGTGCTTTCGCAATGGATCTGTCTCTCTCTCTCTCAAACACACACTTCTCGCTTCCTCTTCTCGCTGCTCTTCTTAGCAGATGAAACCATAATGGGACCATGCATTTCGTGTACATCGTAAGAACAACTTTGTTAACGTGGTTGTGATTAAATCTAGTTTAGAGCCACTTTTTCTGTGCTACAGAAACGATGAAAAAAACACACAACCAAAACAAAAGAAACAAGAGAACTCGTGTATATCCAACGGACGTGTATTTTCTTATTTCAATCATTTTCCATTGCTTAAACAAACATTTTTGAAATTAGCGGTCAAATTATCGCTGCAAAATTAAATGAAAATTAAATGGAATGACTTTAGTTTCAACGTGTTTTCGTATTTTTCATTTTCTCCTCACTTTCGTGCATTGTTCTTATCCGACGCTTTTATCGTAATCACCGCCGCAGCAAATTGAGTTTCATTTTTTTTGTTGTGTGTGTTCATTCGTCGCACTACACCGTCTTTCTCGCTCCATCTATATCCATTTCAAAACGATGCTTTGAAGAATCCTTCCGATTTCATTTAGAAATGAATAAATACAACATCGCTGTTGTATTCAAAGCTGGTGCGGCTGGTCACATGGAAATCCTAAGCGACAAACTTTTTCGTACTCAGCATCTGCTGGTGCGGCTGCTACTTTTTTTGTGTATCGAAACTTTTTTTTTCTGTTCTGACTAAATTCTGGACAGTTGCCCGCTAATGACAGTAAATGGTTATTGTGTTTCTCTCTGTGCGAGTTACAGCGCCGTCAGCAAAAAGGACGGCTCACGCTCAAGCCGCTTGGTTTACATAAAAAGAGTTCTAATTGAACATCCAGTGTTATTACCTGTTTATTGTCTTTGTTCGCATCGAATTCGAGTTGTTTGTTGTGAAACACACATTAGATTTTGACCATAAAAAAATTGCGTATTTCCTCTTATCTTCTCTGGAGGGTCAGGTTGATGAGCAGCGTAGTAAAATTGAAGCGTGGCGTGGTAGCGGACCGTATTTGTGGTTCAGTAAAAATTTTTCCCCTTTTCAATTTTGATTGAATAAACTTTTTGATCTAATCGATCGGCTAAAAAACAATCGTCTGAGCTTGGATTAAACCTATATGTGTACCTTTTATTCCAATATATGGTTTGAAAATGGTGATGCTTTATGAAGTTCATTGGATGTCTGTCATTTAACCGGTTCTCGGATAATCTATCTCTCATTTCATACAATCACATATCAAACAACTACGGCAAAAAAAAATATTCAGACACTATAAATCAACAGAGAGAGAGATAGAGAAATCGGGGAAAAAATCGAGAGGAGTAAAGAAGAAGAAAAAATGGCGCGAAAATCTAGTTAAATGCAGTCGATTCAGTGTTGTTGGTAATATTTGTTCGGTGTGATGCTTAGAGGATGAAGTTTTCGTTATCGCTTTTAATGTATTGATACAATGAGAGATGATCTACTTCACTAGATGGAATACGTTTTAATGTCATTTTTTTATGCAATATTTTTTTTCCTTCATTTCACTCACTCTATATCGTTGGTTCTCTCCCTCTTCATCCATGTCTTTTCACAGTTTTCGGAAAATCCAGATAATCAATCACTGAGCGTGCTGACATTCACACCATCCATAGATGATGATGGAAAGCATTTGTCGTGTCGCGCGGCAAATCCATATATCGAGAACAGTGTAATCGAAGATAAATGGTTTTTAGTGGTCCATTGTAAGTAGACTGATTCATTTATATAATATGTATTTCATTTCATGTTATTCGTTTACATTTTCCTCTGCTTTCCAACAACAGCAACAGCACACACACAAATACGCTCTAGCACACGTATCAATCTATGAATTCCCTGGTCAACCTTTTATTCCAACAATAAATGCATTCGGATGCGTGTATGGCTTTGATGAGATGTGTGTGCGTTGAGGGAAAGTGGAAGAAACAACTTTTTTTTGTCATAATACCCATATAAATATTTATAGGAATTTAAGTTGGAATATCCTGTCCTTTGTATTGGGCGAAGCAAAAAAAAACAAATCGCGTATAATGAAAGCAACAGTGAAAAAGTTAAATGTCAGCAATCCCATTGAAAACCGCAATTTTTTGTCTGAAGCGGAAATTTTGGTTTTTTTTTTCATCCTGTCAACTGAATTAATAATGAAGAGCATTTGAAATCGATTCAGTGTTTTAGCGTCAATTTTTAAATCCAAATCAATTGCAACTGCGAAAATCACAAATCGAATTCAATTAAAATCATTTTGGGAAGAGAAAATTACTGTCGAAAATTGATAATTGAATTGACAACAAGTTTTTATGGCATTATCGAATCACAAACAATTCATTTCAACAAACCCATCACTTTCATTCATTCGAACTATTATTTTTTGTTCTGCTAAATTAATTTGGGAAAATTCGTCGGCAGTTGGTTTTTTTCTCTCTTGCATGCAAGACATACAGACACAAACGCACGAACGTACACACGATGAAAGAGCTCATCGATCCTTGATGAAGTACTGGCATTAATGTGTTATCTGCCATTCGCCATTTTTACCCTTTCATTTTATTATTTCCCATTTTAAATAGCAATTTTGGTGTTGTGTTGTGTTGTTTGCTCAGTCAGTGTGTATGTGTGAGTGCGCGCATTTATATTTTTTTTTATTTGCTACTCGTAAAAGTGCGATGGCTTGATCAGTTTATTGGATGCACATATAACGCACAGCTAAACGCGCTGACACATTTGTAAATATCCATTCAATGTGCCATTCATTTAATCAAGAAATATCATCAAAAACACTCTACATAAAAATATCAATGGTAAAATTTACACATTTCGCGGAACAACATCAAACGGGAGCACAAAATAATATCACATCTTTTTTATTCATACCAAGCAAGCAAGCAACCAACCATTTTTTCTCTTTCGTTGTTGTCGTTGCCCTTCCAATGTGATTCCGCTGTGGGAAACGGGCATTGACGATGGCAATATAATGAACAGTTCTTATGCGATGACTGCTTTTTTTGTATGTGCGTGCGTTTGTTTGCGTGGTCCGATTTTATTAGTTCACATTTTCATTAAATGTGCTCGCGCTATTCGAATTTGTTGCGAATACCATATAATATGGCACTTTCATTTCTATTTTTATTTTCCATTCACTCGTATAAGAGTGCACTTGTTTGTGCAATACGGTTTTTTTTGCTGTTGTTGTTTTTTTTCTTCTGTGGTTGAATTATTGGCTGGAATTAGTCGTCTAAAAGATATTTAGGCCTTTTTCACTATGAACAATAGACGTGAAAACGGACGCGAAAAGCGGAAATGAATGTGAATCAATGGCACAATACAAATAAAATATGTGCGACCGTTCGTGTAAAAATCACACGCACACTTTTCGAATGGGTTGCAACCGAAATAAATGACGATGGAAATAGTGAAGAGGAAAAAAACCGAATATGACAAATCGAGCCACATGAAAGCCGAAATTCCGAAGTAATACTGAAATTGCAGATGGTTCACTTCAAGAGCTTATTTATACGCTTTTCATTTTCAGTGGTTGTGTGTATTTGTTATCATTTTAACCGCTGGCAAAATGAGAGTGTGACAGACAGAGAGAAAGAGAGAGAGAGAGAAGGATAGAGGAGTTCGCTACGCTACATTCGCTAAATGTGTTCGTTGTCATCATATCCTGACACTTGATCATACATCCTGTTATAATGCCAACACACATACAAAATTCCATGGAACAAAAATTCCATCGCAACTAAAAATGAAGAATTTATACGTTGTTGCAACTGTCATAATGATTGCGAGCGAATAAGTGTGTGTATATTGTGGTATACATTGGGAGAGTGTGAGCAAGTATGCTTACTGAGACGAACGAGAAATAAAATGTTGATAAGCGCTTGAGTTTCTCGCTAAAAAGAAACAAGGATAACAAGTGTTGTTTGTATGCATATTTCCACGATAATCATCTCCAGTGCTCTTCAGTGATATGGAACACTGGAGCGTGGCAACAAAAAAGAGAAGAGAAGAGAAGAGGGAACGAAACGGAACGAAAAAAGAAATGCGGCTTCAGAGGCCTTGACGATGAAGTATTTTTAAACTGACCGCGAATAACTGACTGAATACGAAAAGCATACCATCTTCGAGCGACGTGTCATAATAAGTGGGACGAGATGAAGGCAAATGTTGAATTTGAATACGCCAAAGGCTATCGCACTCAACAATGCTCCAGCAACCATTCTGTTTATGCACAACCACATTTTACCATTGTTAACGCGCGCTCCGATGCATTACCTCCCTACCCAAAAAAAGCACATACCGATATACACATACCATGAAATATATCTCGTTCTGTTTACTTTGGTTCCGAAAAAGTCTAGTATGCCGTTGGTTACATTTTTTTATATGTGTTTCTCTCCCTCTGCATACTTTTGGCGATTTCGTCACAATAAAATCCGCAGCTGGTTTGTAACCAATTCTAAAGTTATGGCCAACCAGGGAGCACGACGGCAACAAAAATTATTCGAATACCGTCATTTGGTCGGCACCAACAATGCAAAAATAAACTAAATTAATGAGACGATATTCTGTCGTTGCAATTTCCCTCTTCGGTTTCGTTCGTTCGTACGTTTGCATTGAAAAAATATAAAATTGCGCATCGAAGAGTCATCCAGCGTACCACTGTATTTAAAATTGTTTATGGTTTTTTTCTTCAATTTTTTGCTCAAGAATTCGCAATGTGGTGCACAATAATAATTGCGTATCGTATGAATAAATCGGTCAAATGAAATCTGTTCGTTTTTTCTGTTGATTTTTAGAGTGGAGCAAGTTTTTTTTCTTTCTCTCTTATTTTCTAATTTCTGGTTTGAATGGCTCCATTTTTCTCTGTACGAATTTCCAATTGTTTTTTGAAGACGAAAGTAATTTGATGTCGTACACACCAGTGCCGAGTTAATGTTTTGTGGTGCCCTGAGGCAACTGCCTCAACTGCCTCTATAGTTAACTCGACACTGGTATACAATTCATACTTCGGCTATAATACCATTGACGATATGCGTCGAAAAAAAAAATGTGTGCATATTCTGTCTTGGCTTTTAATGCTTTTTATCGCTCGATTTTATTTCAATATTTTTGATTGCACTATTTGATTTTCGAGACCATCAACTCTGAGCTGTCAAACAAATAAATCAAATTTTATGATAACGCAGTTAAATTGCCAGCAGCATAAAAAGCCAGATCAAACAAAAAGGACCGCAATCTCTATCGTTCAATTTAAAAAAAAATATGTACATTTTGGTTATAAACTTTCATATGCTCGATTTCCGCAACGTTCGTTTCTTCCCATTCATTTTCCCTCTCTCTCTCTCTTGGTTCAACAACATAAACGGCACCATCAACGCTTCAAACTATTGTTATTGTGATACGAAAAATTATTTCGTTGACAATTGCACCGATTTTTAGCAGCTTTTTTGTTCGTGTCTTTGATGTTTTTTTTATGTGAACAGAATTGAGTGGAAAACGCTTCACATAGCAGTAGAGAGTTTCTTATTAGCCAGATAAAATGCTTTTGTTCTTTTCATCCATCCATATATGGAATTTGCATCAACCGGAGTGGAATAATAATGAATTTGCACGCGTTTCCGCCTTCACTTCAACCTCGAACTTTAATCGACAATATAACTCAACTGAGAACATAATTAAATAGAATATGATGTTCGACTGCAAGTTTTGGTATGGAATGTGTACCAAGTGCTTAGAATGGATTTTTTTTCTGCTATTTTGCCTCGCTCAAGTGCTGTTTATTTACGCGGTTTTGTAATTTAGAACTTTGCGCGTCTGTACATGTATTGTTGTACGACTTTTGCTTACACATTCATTTTTTGAACATCTTCATTTCCATGAGCCTCAGAATTTTAAACACGGTAATGTTCGGAGAGTAACACTTGTTGCCGAAAAAGAAAACACTCATTTTGAAATGAAACTCAAAATTGTTGAATTTTGAACAAGTGAAATTAGAGAATAAGACGAAAAAAAGGAGATTCGTGTCCATTAAAATTTTCAATTTGAAAATCAGTGTGTTCTTGATACAAAATTCAATAAAGGCGCTGGAAAAAATTCTATTGGAATATGAGAAAAACTGACATGTAAACAGCATAATTTGTTGTTCAGTTTGACAATAATAATATTGTACAGATTCGAAAATGTTAGTAAACTCAGTGATATTCCATTAGATGAGCACTGAATCTCTGCACATTTTCTCCGAATCATTGATTTTTTCTTATCCTTATTCATTGGCTTTTTGTCAACTCCGCTTCAGATGGCATAATATTCACATTACGAGATTGGCATGTTGTTTAATACAATCAGTTTTTTACCAGCAATTTGTTCTAGATATTTAAAAAATTTGCGAACATTTGTGTCACAATTTGATTTCATATTTCCAATTCCGTCTGGCATCTACTTGTGCCGAAAACTTTTACGCCACAATGTGTCTGTGTGTTTGAGGCGAAAAGGAATCGCAGAAGAAGCAACCGGAAATGAGAGAAAATTCAAGCGAAAAGAAAGCGATGTGCAAGTACATGGAACACATAATGCATTGAGACAAAAAAAGCGGCAGCAATAAAGTTTGTGCGCTTCTTTCACATGAAAAGTTAGAAATCGAAAATATTTATTCATAATCATATTTATTTCACATAAAACACATTATCTTCAACATTCGACT